GTCTCTGATACTCTGCAAAAGAGCAGAATATAAAGTAATGTGAAACAACTGAATTATGCAAAGTAAAAAGCAGTGTGGAATGTGGGCAGGGACTAGAGAATGCTCTTTTAGTGAGAGGCAACTATTAACGTTGGGGTGGTGGAGGTATGGGGTGATTTTTTTCAAAAACAATATTTTTTATTTGGCTCTCTGGTCCAAATTCTCGAGAAGAGGATATTATTTGTCAGCCAGGACATGCTCGTTTCAGGAACTATGGGTTGAAGTTAAAGGGTCTGTAAATTATTTTATTCAGCACTTTCTTCGCCAAATACATCCTGAGAGCCTACTGTGTGCTAGCCAGTACTACTCACTGAGGATACAGCCTGAGCAATTTGGCCCCTGGCCACATGGGACTTTGGTCACTTACACAAATAGCATTAGTTCCCATTTCCTTAGCAGTTGCTGTCAGCCTCTGTGCTGAGTGCTTAACTTTCATCTCTTCGTTTAATCATCAGAACAGTCCTGTGTTATCATACCCATTTTACAGAATACAAAGCTAAGATAAAGGGAGGCTGAATAATCTGCCCAACCTGTACGTTCAGGATTCAGACTCGGGCATCACTGCTCTCCGGCCTGCTCTTGGCCGCTCAGCCTCCCTAGATCACTCCTCTCTTCAGTGCCCAGGAGTCTGGCTCACCTCACAGATGCCTGAGAAGGTGCTGGTTCAGTGTCCTTCCTGCCCCAGAAAGAGCCATTTGCCTAATTAAAGCAATCGCTACCCATTTTCGACTAGAGTACAAAAACGGTCTGATAAGACAGCTCTAATTTTTCTCTTTCATTCTCTTGCGAATGTTTCACACTTTCTGCACAGGGAGGGCCCTCGCAGCTCTGAAAGCAGATTTGGGAACATGCTGGATGGGTCCCCTCCAGTCAGAGATGACAGCATCAGCCTGGATGTGTCGTTTTAGACGGATGTGTGTGCTTTAGGGAATAAGTGATTTGTATTTGAGAGAAATCACTCAGTGGGAAGTGACGGGAACTCCTCCATCAGTGTGCTCAGAGCGGTTCGATATTTTAGGGACACGAAGGCAAATAAGGGACCAGAAAACATGAACAGGGGAATAATCTAGAGCCTTCTGTCACTGTTTAGGAACAGTGACACTAAAAATTGTGTTCTAATGTTAAAGATATTGAAAATGTAAGAAATACTCAGAAATCGAAGTCCCACTGAGAAGAATAAATTGGGATTCTGATAATTGATTCCCATAATATTAAAAATAATAAAATAAGACCTTTGCTATATTTGCATATCAGCAGATTAATAACAGAGGTTTTCTTTCACAGGCCCACCAAGGGGCCCAAGAGGCACCTGGGGGGGGGATTTGAACGTTAGATGAGATGAGAAGGGGCCCACAGAGCAGGGTGCGGAAATCAGAGATCTGAAAATGATGGCCATGGATGGCTAACTACTTCCATGTCTTCATTTTCTCCTACCTTCTTCCACTCACTCTTCTTAAAGACTCATGATATTTTGTCTGGGTCATATTTTTATTTCCCTCTCCATGTTGATGACATCAATTAAGAAGCCTTGTGGCTGTTTCTCATCACTTCTCAATTTCTGCCTTTCCCCCAAATTCTTTGGGTTGCTTTTTCCTCATGATAGTCCTATGTGTGCTTGCTCCTTCCCCCACCACACATGCACACCCGGGGGTTAATGGAGTGTGTAACTGCTGATATGCACAATTAACCACCATTTATTTCTTTATTAAGTGAAGGAAACACTTCAGAGGCTAAACAGCTAAACTGAAGGAACATGTATACACTAAACTTTAAATGTGATCTAATTAGAAAGCAGTTTATGAAATATATAGTCTCTGACATGTGTAGGTGATTTTCATTTTCTAATTTAAATTTATTTGAGTAGTTAATACATTCATGATTTTTAAAATCACATGATTCAAACAAGTTATAACTGAAACGTCTTATTCCCACTCCTCTTCCAGACCCCACCCCTGTTTCTGCTTCCTACAGGTACTCAGTTTTAGTCTTTAAACTAAATATTAAAATATATTTTTATTGATTTCAGAGAGAGAGGGAGAGGGAGAGAGAAAGAGACATTTGGGAACCCCTGGACCCATGGGGCTGGACCCCAGCAGAGAGGGAGAGGGAGAGAGAAAGAGACACATCAATGAGAGAGAGAACCATCGATCGGCTACCTTCTGAACACCCCCCATTGGGGACGGAGCCTGTAACCCAGGCATGTGCCCTGACCAGAAATCTAACCCGCAACCTCCTGGTTCATAGGTTGACACTCAACCACTGAGCCACGCTGGCTGGGCAGTTTTAGTTTTGTTATGAGTCTTCCCAGGGTGTCTTTATAAGAATAAACAAATGAGGATATATAGTTCTTTCACAAAAGTCAGTGTAATATAAATACTACTGAACACAAATTGCCTTGCCATTTGCTCTTTTTCTCACTTAATATATCCCGGAGGCCTTTACATGTTAGTGCCCCCACAGCTTCCATGTTTGGAGGGTTGAGGTTGCTGCATGGTATTCCAGTGTACAGATACATCGGTGGATTTGACGAATCCCTGACTGATGGATTTTTTTGTTGTTTCCAGTCTTTTGCCATTAGAATAATGCCACACTGGCCTATGTAATCATGTTCAGCTATGGCTGTCCACAAATTTTTTCAAAAGTCAGATTTCTGGGTCAAAGAGAAGTGCATTTGTAATGTTGAATGATCGTGACAAGTTGCCTTTCTTAAGTTGTACTTTTTCACTCCCATCAACATTATTGGAGAATGATTCTTCCCCCACACTTTGGCCGACAGAGTGTGTTTTCAGACTTTTGGAATTTGGCCAATGCATAGATGCTAAAATGGCATCTCAGGATAGTTTACTTCCCTTTCTTCTCATTGTGAATGAAGTTAAGAATATTTTCTTATGTTTACTAACCATTGTCTTCCCTTCACTGTAAACTGTCTTTTTGTGCCCTTGGTCATTTTTCTTCAAATTTGTTTGTTTTCCCCTACCTGTCATCTGTAATATAGGTTGCAAATACATCTTCCCAGTTAGTCATTCATTTTGTTGTCTTTATTCCATCTGATTTCATTTCACTTTTCCTTTTCCTTTTTTTTCATTTTGTTGTCTTTATTCCATCTGATTTCATTTCACATTTCCTTTTCCTTTTTTTTTTGTTTTTTGAGAAAATTGGTAACCTGCTTTGCATAGCATTGTGGATCTGTAAACATTACCTGCAGAGAGTCTTAATCAGTGGGGAAATCACAGTGGTTTCATGAGTTTACAAATTCTAACAACACATTAAAAACTCCCTTACTATTATAAATGTATACAGATATGAAAAAATAAGAAAACTAACAATGTATTTAGTCCACTTGGCATTAGAAACATTTAATTTCTTTGTTAAAATCTTGTCCAGAGTAGTTGAAAAATGCTTGCACCTTCTTTGTGTTGTATACCTTACGATACACAGTGAGCATCTTTCCTATGCATTGGTGAACTGTCACACCTCCTTCAAAGTTCGGGTCAACTGCCAGTATTTTATTCTTTGACTTTCAGTGTCATGAAATATCTCAAAGAGTTCTTATAATGTGAGATTTTTGGCTGGCATACCTCCTCTGGGCCACCTTCATCCCTTTTGTCATAACCACTTTCCTCATTTATTTAGATCAAATTCACCTTCACTCTGACTGCATTTGCCTCTCGAATGGGGCAACATTCCCATGGTCAATTATTGCTTCTATAAATCCATTTACATTGAATTCAAACTTCACTCCCACTGTTACCACTTTTAGTTTTTTTCTGTACTTTTACCATTTTTGGCCAATTCCCTTTTAATTATCCTTTGTAAAATATCACATGGTAATATCACTGAGAGACTTTGCTGTCTGTACATGAACTGAATAACAGATGTGCAATGATCAGTCACTGTTACATTTTGAGATGATTGATCATTGATCATGGTGAACATCAATTATTCTGGTAGAGGTATCTGAACTGAAGAGCTAGCCTCAGAGTTTATACTTTATGCCATTACTCACAGTTAAAACACTGTTAACTGGCATTTGAATCTTGGTTTTGGAGGACAGGCATTAACTAAACTGTAGTAACTTAAGTTTGTATATATCAGAAACATGCAAAGCAAGAACTGCCGGTATGGAAAAGCACAAAGAGTAATATGACAAACAACTGCACACTCATCTCCGAGCTTTGGCAGTTAATAACAATCCTTTATATATGCTTTAAGTACTTTAGTAAAGGAAATAGATCATTAAAAATAAGGCTGAAGTCCTGCTTTGCCCCCACCTCCCATCCTGTTCACTTTGTAATCTCCCAACTCACGTATCATCACCTCTCTCTCTCTCTCTTTCTCTCTCTCTTCATCACCTCTCTCTCTCTCTCTCTCTCTCTCTCTCTCTCTCTCTCTCTCTCACACACACACACACACACACACACACACACACACATTTCTATCTACACATATAAAAATCTCAATGAGAAATATGTAGTATTTGGGGTGTACTTTTAAATTTGCATCGTAATTGTTTTTCTTTGTGCTTTGCTTTTTGTATTCTTATTTACTTCTTGAATTAATAAAAATATTCTGTGCATCTCTTTTTCTCCATCCCAGTTTAGAAGTAATTTTCTATTTCATCCTATTTATATTTAATTAGTGAAATAACATTTTAAAAGATGGATAGTTATATAGAGAAAGATGACATATATTTATATATTAAAACATATATACACATATCCACATACATATCTATCTATCTATCTATATCTATACATATACATATATATCCATATATAGATATGGATATATATGGATATGACTATTATAGAGTGATGACCTGCTCTTGTTAAGAATTCTGGGAACTTCCCTGTTTCCCTCCATGAAAATAGCTGAAGTCCAGAGATACCCATGTGGGTTTTGTCGTATTTCTGTAGCCATCTTTCTGATACATGTAACAACCATTTCTGTTTGGCTTCCAGGTTCATTCAGGAAGTTGAGCATGCCTTGGGACTTGGGCCAGCCAAACAGTGTCCTCTCCGAGAGTTCCTCACTGTGTACATCAAAAACATCTTTCTCAATCAAGTCTTGGCTGAGATCAACAAGGAGATTGAAGGAGTCACGAAAACATCGGATCCCCTGAAGATCCTGGCCAACGCGGACACCATGAAGGTGCTGGGTGTGCAGCGCCCTCTGCTGCAGGTAAGGATATGCTTTGAACTTACTGTTTGTCAACAGTTATGGCCTTTGCAAGAGTCTCAAATTAAAAAACAGAAGAAGAATTGCCATCTGTTTTTATATTCACCGGGGACAAAACAAGAGGAAATAAATTAAATAGGTACTAAGGACATTTAGGACTAATATAGAGATAATGGAAATTCCTTAGGATCTTTAAGAAAAATGTGGATAGCTTTGAATATGGTGGAACGTACATCTCATTAACATGCAGGCAAGGCCTCCTTATTTGCCTGGAATTTGCCCTTGCTGGGACTTACAGGAAGGAAATCACCCTGCCTAACAGATGCCCACCGAAACCCCAGTACCCATCCATTGGAAGACAGATGCTGTTAAGGACTTGGCCAGCTCACAGTGAACTTGAACCTACCAGCAAACTGGCTTTTCAAAGTCATACCATTTCGTTTAAGTGATGGTCTTGTTAATATTGAAACTTTTACTTTAACTATATAAAGAAATGGTTTCTGGGAAGCAGACATAAAATAATTTCTCAGTAGATATGTGGATTCATAGGCTTGAGGTATTTATTTTGTATCCATTTTATTCGGGGACATAAAGACAAATATAAAACTAAAAGAAAATAGTATGAGTTTAAATTATGGCTGTACATTGATTGCTATTACAGTTGTAATTGAAATGGAATCTTCCTGGCGTTTTTTCACTTAAGAGAGAAAAATGTTTCTTCATTTTTTACCCAAGTTGCATGATATGAGGATATCTCGAAATGTGGAAGGCTTTCACTCTTCAAAGAGAAGTTGTACCAGTGGAAGGAAGCTACAGTTGCTTTAATGGCTGCCCTTACCCACCTTTGTGTATAGCTTTCTTGATTTTTCCTTCTGTGCACATTAGAATTGATAGCAATGCTGAGCCTTTCATAGGTAGTGTCCTAGACAGGAGCATTCTCGTTTATGAGCAGACTCTTCCATGGTGCTGAGAAAATCGAGTAGCGACATTTGCTTCTCCCAGAACTTGAATTATAGCATCACACTGAGGAGTGGGTTCATTCAGATTGTCGGGGTCTGTGTGAGATGTTTCCCGGTGAGGGATGTGTACTGAGCCTGGCCTAGAGAAGGGAGAATCACAGAGGCTGGATGGCTCTTCCACTGGCTCTTTGCAGGGCTGGGACCTTCTCCTCCTTGAGTCTCAGTTCAAATGTCACCTCCACGAAGAAGCTTTTCCTGACTGTCCCACCTAAGTAGGTCCCCTTCTCTGGTTATTCTCCATTCTCCCCTCCTCCATTCATGTCCCCAATCCATTCTCAACACGAAAGTCAAACTCTGTGGACAATATCACCAAAGCTCCCTTGCCAGGGGGCTCGGGATCAGGTTGTACCAATAGGAAGCACTAGCAGCAGGTAGGAGGGTAGGAGGAGGAGGTTGGGTTATTTCTTATCTCCTTCCTCTCCACGCTGGATCATGGTGCTGGCTGTGGGCACATCCCTCGGCAACAGTCCTGCCCAGTGACCCTTCCTCCAGAGCTGCAGCTCTCAGTGGACTCTGACTACAGCCTTTCTTCTCCTTGCCCTTGATCGCTGATCTCTGCCACTGCTGGTTTCTGGTACCAGGACAGCTCTTGTTGCTTCTGTCAGTGCTGCCCACACCCCTGGGAGTATCTCCTCTGTAATATTTCTTCATTTGAATCATCTGAATGGAATTCTCTTTTTTGTTAGGATCCCAAATAGATTTCCCCAGCTAGTCACTATTTTAACACTTTGACTTTGTTTTTTCCTTCTTAACACAACAACTGTAATTATTATTTCATTTATTTTCTAACTTGTTTATTTTTTGTCTTTTCCAACTACAATGTAAGTTCTAAAAGCCTAATACAGTACCAGGCGGCAGGAAGGCACTCAATAAATAATTTACTGAATGAATGCATACAAGCATGGATAGATGGAGGGAGGGGAGGTGGATAGACACAGAGAATAAGTTTTGAGATTCATAAATAATTGCAGAGTTGGGGGAAAAGATAAGAAATAGAGACTGACACAGACTTGTTAATATTTTTTGTTGTTGTTTGACATTAACTTCCTCTCTGTCAGGACACCTCTCAGCATCTGTGCCCCTACAGTGCCACGCTCTCTGCTGTACAGAGCATCTTCGGTGTGCTTGGTGTACTGAATTTAAATGACATTTACAGCAAGGTCCCTAGAGTGAGTCTGTGAACTAAAGATGCTGGCTTATTAAACATTACCGTTTTCGGCTTGAGTGGCAAAGACACATTCAAACTCATAACTAGTTGACTGCTATCTGGGCCATGTCAGGGCCACACACTGAATTACATCTCTGGGCAGTCTCCCCATATGCTTGTCAAATCCCTCCCAACCTCATCACCAGCCCTTTGCACATGTCACTATGCCTCTTGAATGTTGTGTGGTTTTCCCTCTCGTTCCTTAAATCAGTAACTCCATTCATTCTGAGGCCAGATAAGAACTCCAATTTAACCTATTCTCTCTTTGACCTAGTCACAGTGTGGTAATTTCGTGTGAGTGAGTGAGTCTTGAAACTAGGCCATTCACGTTAGTAATCTCCAAATTTGTTTTTACAGCCAAAACACTCGCTTTCTTATTTGGTTGTTTCTTATTTGGTTGTTTTGTTGCCCTCTCTTTCTTCATAAAATTTTTATTTTATGAGAATGCAAAATCATTAGGCCATATTAATAAATTTGTTTCATAGTCTCAGACTTAGGAGATTTAGGAAGGAAATGGAGTGATGGTTATTCCCCTTTCAGATCTTGAGCTTTTGTCTTGCTTTAAAATGACCATAAATTGTTTTCTAAGAAAATTTCCCAAGCTCAAGTTTCAATATTTCTCAAATGCTTCTCTGTCACCTGGATATTGTGATCCCCAGCCAATTGTAGGTGACGAATCTGAAGAAAAAGTAAGAAATAATTTTGAAAATTTTAAGCTGAGTTTCCAAAACAGCTGTCAAGAAGGGAGCTTGGGGAAATCTGTGCATGTGTGAAAAAATGCAGGTGGGTGAAGCATTCAATTACATGAAGTTTTAAAATGTCCTTCAAAGTCGCTCCGTCTGTTAGACTGTGGTTTGGTTGCCCAGCATCAGGTAGCACCAGCCCAGCTGGGTCTCAGGGTGCATGGAGGACAGCTTCCCGGGGCTGCTGTGACCTGTGATGAGGTGCAGGTGCAGGATCCCCGGACACTGCCCTCCCCTCTGGAGTGGCATCTGGGTAGCACAGAGAGTCCATTACAGGGGCAGTTTCCATGGGCGATCATGTGCCTTCACATGGTGATTTCACTTTCTTGGCACCGAATTCATAGAAGGGAAGGAAGCAATAGAAGGGAAGAGATTACAAACACCACTTTATAGGTGAAACAACTGTTCAAGTGTTGGCCCAAAATGATACAGAGCACAGTACCAGTAGTAATAGAAGTAGCAATAATAGTTATAGTTGTAGACAGTAGCAATGATCACAGCTAACACTTTAATAGCATTTACTGTGAGCCAGACACTATCCTGAGTGCTTTATGTTTTGACTTGTGTTTTCTGTATATGGGCAACAGCTTTGTGGGGAGGAAACTGAGAAACAGTGGAATTCAATGGCTTGCCCTTGGTCACATAGCGTGCAAGTGCCAGGACTGTACTGCAGACCCAGGCGCCTAACCCTGGAGGCCACGCTCTGAATGAGTTCTGCCCAAAGCCGAGCCTGAGGAGCAAGCTTGTCTGCCAGCTGTTTGCTCCTCATCTGCCCGGAGACCACAGAGCTGAAAATAAGCCTTTAGAGCCCCGCCCCTTAAAGCAGTTATCACTGTCCCTTGGCTCTAATAATAAAATTGGGACTTGTATTTTGTATATTCTTGTGTGGTATTTTTTTTTCCATTTCTTTTTTTCTAGTAAATTATTTCTATTGTATTTTATAAAAGTGTCAGTCTACAGCAAGTGGGGGGCTGGGCTCTCACCATAGTTAGGTCCACAGTGCTCTAAACCCCTTATTTCCTATATTGTCTCACAGAGAAGTGAAAGCACAAAACCAGCCATCTCTGGCCTCTGTGCCCACAGTGTGGCTCAGATATTAGTTGCAGGTGGTTCTCTCCTAAATTCCTAGCTCTGGAACAGTGTCTGCTACCAAGATGCTCACTAGTGAATAAATGGATTACTGAGTGACAAGGAGAGAATTAATGGCAGCTTCCTTGGTAAAAGGACATGCGTGTGCATGCTTTCTCCTCGTGGTGTAAGATTTGTGGTCTTGGGTTGAAGATTATGGGCAATGCTTACGTTAAAATGTCATCGTTCTCAAGCCTCAAATGTTGTCCGTCTGAAGGCAGGATTGAATATACCTCATGCTCTCACCATCTGAGATTCCGCTTTTTAAAAAATGGCTTCCACATGGTGCACGGCAAAGCCTGATGCTTCAAAATAAGGAAATCTCTTAAGACATTCCTCATTTCTCCTGAGTCAGAGCTCCTAGCCTTCGAACCTGGAGCTATAGAAACAGTCAATTGAAGTGGATGCCCTCTCATGCCTTCTCTGCCTACAGGAGTCTACAAATTGCTCATGCCTGAGACGCAGGAGACAGCCACTCCGTTCTTACTCCCTACTTACTATTGGTTTGGAGGCGTCATTTAATTTATTGTTTCCTTAGTGTCTCCATCCAAAAAGGTCAAGGGCGGTAATGCTTAAGGTGTTTACCTTTTACCTGTCACAATGCTGCATGGGCACCTGAATGCTTGAACAAAGGTACCAGTTTTCTCCCTACCCCCTGATGGAATATGCTTTACCCTTGCTACCTAGAGAGGGTCTGTGGACAAGAACGTCAGACCTCTGAGTCAGAATCTGCATTTGGACAGCCTCACCAGGGTATTGGCATGCACGTTAGAGTTGGAGAAGCGTGGCCGGTGCCAGGGTAGCACCAAGTGTGGTCCAGGGACTGTCAGCATCAGCATCTCCCGAGCTGGGAGAGATGCAAGTCCCTGCACCTCACTCCACTCTGGGCTGGCGCCAAGGAAGCCT